ACCAGTCAAATATCGGTCAAATAATGTCAAAAATGGTCAAATATTTTAAAGACTAATTTATTGGAACAGTAACAACAGTAACAAAAAAGAGAAAGGCCAAAGAGAAAAAGCAAAAGCAGCTCCCTGAGCGACATAAGTTACACCGATATAAGCATGGTGTGCACGTTGGCAGGAGAGCTTCTCCTACTGACATAGCTACTGCTGCTCGTTGGGAGTGATTTAATTATGTCGACAGGAGAGCTCTCTCCTGTCAGCATAGAGCATCTCCTGCTGACATAGTGCTGTCCACACTGGCACTTCTGACGGCGTAACTTATGTCGCTCGGAGGGGTGTTTTTTCACACCCCTGAGCAACATAAGTTTTACCGACAAAAGTGCTAGTGCAGACACAGCCTGAGTTATTTTAACTCAGAAAAATGCAAAACACAGTGAAGTGAAGCTCTAAAAAAGGAGTGGCACCATGGCATTGACATTATTTATAATTGACATTATTTGATTGGTCAATTATTTGACTTGCAACGCCTAGTAATGACAAATCCAGACTTCCACAACCTATGTTGCAGGATGCTTTGGATGACCCAGAGATGTGCCTTGGGAATCTTCTTAGTCCTTAGTTGAAGGGATGAGGTTGCTGAATCCTTAACAAAGACCTCTTGTCTCCTAAGTAATTGAGTTTGGAAGGTGCTTCTGAGTAGGGCTCCCTAGCACTGTTAAAAATACTCATGTCCTGTCTGCACAACACTTTAAGTCAGGGATGGGCAAACTTTTTGGCTGAGGGCCACATCTGGGTGGGGAAATTGTATGTAGGGCCATGAATGTAGGGCTGGGGCAGGGGTTTGGGGTGCAGGAGGGAGTGTGGAGTGTGGGAGGGGGTGTGGTGTGCAGGAAGGGGCCCAGGGCAAGGGGTTGGGCTGCAAGAGGGGTGCAGTGTGTGGCAGGGGGCTCAGGGCAGGGGGTTGGGGTGCAAGGAGGGATGCGGCAGGGGGCTCAGGGCAGGGATTTGGGGGCTTAAGGTAGGAGGTTGGGGTGCAGGAGGGGGTGCAGAGTGCAGGGGGGGCTCAGGGCAGGGGGTTGGGGTGCAGGAGGGGTGCGGCAGGGGGCTCAGGGCAGGGGGTTGGGGGCTCGGGGTTGGGGTGCAGGAGGGGGTGCAGAGTGCAGGAGGGGTGCGGCAGGGGGCTCAGGGGGCTAAGGACAGGGGGTTAGGGTGCGGACTGCAAGAGGGGTTTGGGGTGCGGGGTCCGGCCCAGTGCTGCTTACCTCGAGTGGCTCCAGGATGGCAGTGGCGCGCAGCGGGGCTAAGGCATGATCCCTTCCTGCTCTGGCCCCGCGCCACTCCTGGAAGTAGCCAGCATGTCCGGCAGTGGCTCCTGGAGATGGGGTGGGGCAGGCAGGTACCACCCCTGAAGCTCCCATTGGCCGTGGTTCCCATTGGCCCTCTGTCTCTCCCCCCCGCCCCATCCCAGGGGCCACAGGGACGTGGTGCCGGCCACTTCCAGGAGAGGCGTGGGGCCAGGGCAGGCAAGGATCCTGCCTTAGCCCTGCTGCGCCACAGGGCTGGCAATCCCGCAGGCCGGATTGAAAGCCCTGACAGGCCAGATCTGGCCCACGGGCTATAGTTTGGCCCCCCTTGCTTTAAGTGTTGGTAATACCTAAGGTAAAGATTCTCTCACGGGTATTTTTACTAAAAGTCAGGGACAGGTCACAGGCAATAAATACAAATTCATGACCTCCCGCAGCTGCTCCAGCCTTGACCCAACCACTTCAGCCCTCTGGCCGCTGCTCCAGCCCTGCCCCAGAAGATGTCACGGAATCCGTTACCTCCATGACAGAATCATGACAGCAGTAATTTAGCTGCATCCTTGTGACACATCTGTTGAACACATTTACACCTTCTTCTAGTTAAATGGGCTCCAGTTATCCCATCTTGAACTACCCTAAATAACTCTTCATCCTCCTTCGGGCTTACAGGCTAACAGATAGTTAGCATGTCTCTCGTCACTCCCCCAATCAGGATTTAGATGAGTAGCACATAGCTCTGTTGTTCGTTCTGCATCAGTCCGTCCCTGCAGCCCCGAACTCGTGTCTGGTACATGTCCCTGCATTCCCTCAGGTCCCCTGATTTCTTGCTGGTACAAAATTGCCTTCCATTTTATGTGTTATGTATTATTTGTATTGCGGCATGCCTACTAGACCCTGTTCCACTGTGCTGTGTGCGCTGTATAAACATATAATGAAGAGATGGCTCTGCCCCAAAGAGTGTATATGGGAAGGATAAGATGAGACGGCAGGTCGGTACAACAGCCAGACAAGCCATCAAAGGTGACTGATTCTGGTTAGCGTGATAAGGAGCCATCACAGCACACTTGCTCATTGTCGAGTGCTGTGCAGGCACTGTGGCAGAGCTGAACGTTAAGGGGGAATTTGGAGGACATGATGTGGGTTTGTGGATGTCGGCAGGGAGTTTGTCCTCTGTACGAGGGGCAGCATGGGAGAAAACGTGACGGTGTATGCTGGAAACTGTAGGATTCAGCGTGTAGTCTCCCTGCGTACTCTTACTGCCCTCGAGACAGAGGCTTGCGTTACTCTCTCTTGTTGTTGATGCTGCTGTAAGACGTTACTGGAAGCATCTGTTTAATTTCCTGCCCACTCTCGCTCTGGGGCTTCCCCTGCAGCACACCCACGTAGTTTGATTTTCGTTTGGATGCACATTAGGGTTTGTGCTCCTCAGGGGCACGTGTTGGACGTCTTCCCCTCTCCTGGGCACACATGGCCTTTTTGGCGCACTAAACAGGCTCCTCTTTTGAAAATTCTCCTTGAAGGAGGAGACCGAGAACTCTCCAGTGCTCAGGTTTCCTACATTCTGGCTCGGAGCGTCTGTGAACCCATCCCCGTTCTGTGCGGCCCCTGCCAGCTGTGAGAGCTGCCGAGGCCCTTTGTGGGGTGGTGCGTGTCTTGTCCTGTATGCTGGCTGTATGGGAGAGCCTCGGATGAGGAGAGACATGCCAAGGCAGCATTCTGGCAGAACACAAACTCTGCATTGTTTCTGTGAGGTGATTTGCACTTGATAAATAAAGCAGCCCCATCAGCAGAAAGTGTTGCCATGGCTGGGTTCTCCTCCGCACCCAAAGGCACTGCTGCAGACCCGGGGCGGTGGGGGGAGCCTCTGGCTGGTCCGGGGCCCACTGCTCTCTGAGGTGCAGCCCTGGAGTGGGGGTGGGGGAGCTGCTGGCTGATCCGGGCCCTCCTGCTCTCTGAGGTGCAGCCCTGGAGTGGGGGTGGGGGGAGCTGCTGGCTGGTCTGGGCCCTCCTGCTCTCTGAGGTGCAGACCCGGGGCGGTGGGGGGAGCCGCGGCTGATCTCGGCCCCGCTGCTCTCTGAGGCACAGTCACTGAGAGCTCCTTTCTGGTGCCAAAGTCAGAGGAGCCCTTCCAGTTCCTCTCCTGAGGGCTCCATAACCGGATGAGAGGAAAGCTCTGCTCAAGCTGCGGGTTCATCGCTTGGGCTGGGTGCGTTACAGATGCCTTGAGAGAAGACCTGTTGGATACAAAATAGAGCTGTGTCAGACAGGGGGGCTCAGCTTGCAAAGTCATTTCCAGCAGCACTTCTGAGTTGTACGGCCCGTTGCACGCATGCGAAACTGGTGCAGTGTGTGCATGTGCCCGCCTCGCTGGGTGTGTTCCCAGGCGTGTTTCTGCAAGGAGGGCTCGGGGCGAGTGATTGGGTGAATTGGAATGGGGAGAGCAATCCATGCCCATAGCTCTTACTGGGGAAATGAGTGGCAGTGCCCTCTGTCCCCCTCCGTAACTCTGATAGGTGCTTGGTGGTGCCCTGTGGCCCCCCGTAGCTCTGACAGTGCACGGGTGGGTATTGCAATGCCCCCCGTGCTTCTGGCAGTGTGCGGGTGAGTGTTGAGGTTTGCC